ACAAACATTTCGAATTGATATTGGCGATGTTCTACCAAAAGATAAGAGACCAAAATCAAATCGAAAGGCAATTTTATCAATAAAGCGGCGTGCACTACCACTTGTACCTGCTTATTGTATTACGACACATAAAAGTCAAGGCCAAACTTTAAATAATGTTGTAATTGATTTGAAACTACCAAATGAAAATGATGATATTACTGCAATTTATGTACCTTTGTCGCGTGTAAAACGTTTGACTGATCTGGTCATTTTGCGATATTTTGATTACAAGGTTTTATTAATTAAACCAAGTAAATCTCAACTTGCCGAAATAGAAAGACTAGATAAGCTATATTCAGAAACACAAAAACGTTTTTCTGAGTGGTTTTAATGTCTTCTTCATATTATACGAAATTTTGCGTATGATTGTTTACATTTGAATCTTCCACATGTAGATCATGTTAAACTTTTTATATTTCTACTATTAATTTTTTTGCATTTTACATCTTTTTCTCGCAGATTTTTCTTACATATATTCTATCCATTTTGGTAGTTTTTGATAATGAATTTTTATGCTGTAGTTTTTGTTTTTTTTTATCACATAATAAAATGATATTGAGTAGTTATTTACATTTTCAGATTCCTTCACATTCTCATCATTTCCAATGAATCATTTATAGTTGCATATTGTTCGTAAACATAGGACTTTTAGTGGCAAGTTTCTTAATTACTGTATGAACAAATATTACCAACTAAAATTGGCTTATTTTATCATGCTACTAGTTTGTAACAGTATAACATTTATTTTGTTTCTGATATTTATTAGTTAAAGTGCAGTTTGATAAAGAATTGCTAGCTCTTACAATCGATATCTGAAAGGTAAACTTTATTCTGAGCTATTTTACAAAAAGGCCAATCAATTTCTTTGACTTATATGATTCAAGAAATCGAGATCTCAGTCATTTATTGTGATAAAGCTCGTAGACCAATTCTTTCCATACAACAAACACGGAATATACTTCTGTCTTAAACAGTCGAGGGTCAAGCGAGTCGAACCGACGAACGTTACTTGTTGTATAGTTAAATTGTCGTGTACAATTGACTAAAAAAAAATTATTCATTTATTTTTAATATAAACTATCTTTAAGTTTATCAATTCTTAAGTGGAACAAAATAAAGGTGTGAGTGTGAGTCTTGGTCTGGGTAATGTGTGATTAAGTGCGAGGTTCTCTTTAACTTCACCCATACCTAAAAAAAAATCGGTGATCACAAGATGTTTTTTTTTCTCTTCGTTTACAGGCATCGTGCAAAAAAAAGCTTGAGAAAGAACCACTAGATATTAGATAATTTAGAAATTATTCTTTCATAATAAAAGACAAAAATATGATTTATTCATTATGTTATTTGTTTTGACTCAATCTATCCGTACCAGGAGGAATTAAACAACTTACTTAAAGTTGCTGCTAGTTTATGAAGTTCTACTTCATTGTATTTTCATTTTTTTTTCAACTGAACCCAGTAAAAAGTAGTTGAAGGTAATCGAAGACTATGGATATCGTGTTTCGAGGTATCACTTTCATCGAATAAATAATTTTAGAAAACGTCTGAATATGTGCATTCGAAAGGATGTGCGTCTGGATGTGAACATGGATGAATGTGGTAGGTGTGTAGATACATAATAGACTCAGACTCACATTCTTAATGTACAATATGATCAAAAGTCTTAAGGTTTTGCTAACAAAAATAGACGATTTCTATTGAAGTGAATGAGATAATATTTTTGAATATAATAAAATTATTTTATTCGAACTTCTTCGATAACATCTATCAATGTTTGTGCCATTTTTTTCTCATCGAATTCAAATTGATGTTCTCAGTAACAATGAGGTTTTTTATATTCTAATTTATTAATATTAAGTAAAACTCTAGTAGTAGTAATTGAGATACTTTTAGTAAATGAGCGTCATGGTTTTCTTTGTGACGACATTATACTTTTTTTCTTCATAAAATTCATCAATTTCAGCTTCAATAACTCTTTTGTTGTCGATTGTGAAAAAAATAGTCATGTACTTCAAAAGTCTAACAAGCAAACTATTTCTATGTAGTTTTAAAAACAACAGTCTCAATGTCATTAAAAGCAAATATTCCAACATTTATTTTCATCTATGTACAATCAAGTGAAGAGACCTTCTTTTCTTTCAATGCCAACGGAAAAAAAAATTTCCAACTTCAATTAACTTTCCTGTTGATCGTAGACTAACAATAAAATAAAAAACACATCATATTTCACTTTTATACAAGCTATCGTAACATTCACGAAATTTATTTCTTTATCAATTATTAACAATAACTTAATGTCACACAAAAAGAAACCAATTAAAACAATAAAATCCAAGAACAAACCATTCGTATCAACCCAGATAACTAATTTGGAAGCGTTTGCATGTCTCTGGCTTGACGCGAATGTTAAGAATACAGATGATAATCGTGAAACAGAACAAGAATTACGTCAAATCATCAATCATCTACGGATATTTGATCAAGCAGATGCATGTGAGAAACTAATCCGAGCCACGAAACAAGAAAAAATCGTTCTTATTGTGTCTGGTCAATTGGGTCGTGATGTTATTCCACGTCTTCACAACTTACCACAATTGGTTGCATGTTACGTGTATTGTTTAAATGGAACTGATCATGAAGAATGGACAAGAACATATTCAAAAGTAAATCTTACGCTTGAATATCATTTTAATATTCTTTTCTCTTTTTTTTTTCATTGATTTAGGTTCAAGGTGTTTTTGTTGAACGAGCAGACTTACTAAAACAAATTGATCTTGATCAAAATAATCGACTTTTAACTGAACAATTATCAGCCATAGAAATTATTAGTGGTGATTCAAGGGCTCTTGAATCCAGAAATGCTATGTTTATGTGGTTTCAAATTTTCATTGAAGTATTAATTCGTATGCATCATAATGTCAATTCCAAAAAAGAATTTATTGATATTTGTAAAAAAAATTATAAAGAAAACCCAAAAGAATTTTCTATCATTAAAGAATTTGAAGAATCATATAAATCAGACAATGCTATATATTGGTATACACGTGAGTGTTGTATCTATCGTATTTTAAATAAAGCTCTTCGAATTCAAGATTTTAATATGCTATTTATTCTTCGTTTCTTTATTACGGATATATCAAAACAATTAAAACAACTACAAAAATCAATTTTACGTATGACATATAAACGTGATCCGTTTGTTGTTTATCGTGGTCAAGCAATGAGTAGAGATGAAATCGAATTGATGAAAGAAAGTGTAGGGAAATATATTTCGATGAATTCATTTTTGGTCCACAACTCGACAATTATCAATAGCTATGCAGTTTTTATTGGATGCTAACATTTCTGAAGATATTCAACGAATACTTTTCGAAATCAATATTAATCCACGTGAAAAAACAAAAGCTTATGCCGATATAAATGAAATCAGTTATTTTAAAACTGAAGCAGAAGTATTGATTATGCTTGGTGCTCTCTTTCACATTGACAGTATTGAAGAAAAACCAGATGATAATATTTGGATTGCCCATCTAACATTAGCCAGTGATGATGATTATCAATTGAAAGAGACTCTTGCCTATATGAAAGAAAAAATTGGACAAGAGACAGATCTCGGAACACTTGCTGAAATTCTTATTCAGATGGGAAAATACGATCAAGCATTGAAGTATTCCGATCGAATAATGCATGAATCTCAAATGAATACTGCCAAAGCATATGAAATTGAAGCTAAAGCTTTATGTTTAAAAGGCGATTATAAAACAGCACTTGATCGATCATCACAGATAATGATTATCTACAATAAAATTTTACCATCGATTTGCGCCGAAAAAGGTCAATTGTATTGTGCCATTGGTGCTGTATATTATAGACAGGGTTCATACGATCAGGCACTATCTAATTTAAATGAAGCATTAAAAATTCAACGACAAGTGTTGCCATCCAATCATCCTGACATATGTGAAACGTATCAACATCTTGCTGATTGTTATGAAAGTAAGAAAAGAATCAAAGAATCATTGGAATATTACAATAAATGCTTACAGATACGATTGACTATATTACCTGAAAATCATCCTGCTATTGCTTTAACATACAATAATTTAGGTACTATGTATGAAAATAATGAGAATTATCAGGAAGCATTGAATTATTATCAAAAATCATTGAATATTAGCTATAAAAGTTTGCCACCGACACATCCAGAAGTACAACGTACTGAAGAAAATATTGACAGAGTGAAATCCTTAGTTTAGTTTGACTAAGAGCTATGTAGATTTATTCAAGTTTATATTCTTTAATGAAAATAAAGATCAGTTGAGTGTGACTATGCCTGTTAATCTAGATCTTCTATCTACCCAAACCTACAAATATATATTTCAAAGTGCTTTTGAAGAATCAATCACATATTACAGAAATCTATTTGCTCTTTTATATAAACATGATTAATAAAAATACGACGAAAAAAAAAGATATCTTGTATTCTCAAACAAATTATATTAAAATATGGAATAATATTCTGTGCGATAATGTATCTAATTATAATACACTAGAAATGTTTATGTTTTTATATTATTTATTTGTTCATTTTCATACTCAGCGAATATTTTATATATCCGTCAAGAACGTTGAAGAACATACACAGGCATTCGATTGATGAGATGTTCTTTCTAGAGATTAACTCTTGTGTCTAAACATTATCTCTTCTCTATTTCTATTTCAATGTTCTATCACTGTTTGTCATCATATTAAAACATTTTTTATACTATAATACATTGAAGTTATCAACTTATTGCTTTCATGTTTGATGAATCTGACTAAATGTTTTGTTTTTGTCATCACAGATGATAACATACAAAGATTCTAATATTGAATAAGCATTTGTTTTCCTATTTGTGTTCTGATTAGAAAAGAAAACAATCTCGAACATATTGAAGCGTAAGAAAGAATTTGCTGAACACATCAATATTGTTGGCAAATTAGAGATGACTGATTCGCTAATCACACTCGAAATGGAATTAACACAAATTATTCTTCCAATTATCATTGTTTTGAGTGCATTGGGTAATGGATTAAGTATCTTCATACTAACTAGACCATCTTTTAATAATCATGCGTGTTCTCTCTATTTTCTTGTGTTAAGTATTAATAATTTTTTCCATTCGACTGTTTTGCTCATATTCAATTTATTATCTGATGGATATCAGCTCAATCTAGCTAATCATTCCGGGGCTGTTTGTAAATTGATTAGTTATTTTCTGAATCTATGTCCATACATATCTGTATATTTGATTGTATGTGCATCAGTAGATCGCTTTTGTGGCAGTTCACTCAATGAAGGACAACGTAATGTCAGTAGTGTACGCATAGCTCGATTTATAATTATACTTCTTGTTAGTATATTGGCAACATTTCAAATCGGTGTTTTATTCACTTTTGATCTAAAACAATTGGATAAACTTCGATGTATACCAAGCACGAATACAATATTTAAACAAGCCTTTGCCATTGTTCAAGTGATTATTTTTGCTATAATAGCACCTTTTCTTATGATAATTTTTGGCTCCTTAACTATTTATAATGTAAATCGTTTGTAAATGAATCCAGTCATTGTTATAGGTCGTCGTACTGAAAAGCAACTGATTCGAATGCTTCTTATTCAAATCTTTATTCATCTTATTCACACCCACACCTTTCTGTTCATTTTTTCTCATGTTGATTCTACCTACTACAGTTCAATATACAGCTATATTTTCTTTTCTTTTCATTATCTTCAAGCTACCTTTTTATTTATCATTTGTCACACCATTTTTTCTCTATATTATTTCAGCTCGAGTCTATCGAAATCAACTTGTCGAGTAAATTAGAACTATATTTTACTATCATCGTAACAATCGAATCTCTACCCTTACTCACTGATATTTGTCATATTAATGATCATATCATTATTATTGTATATAATTAACTTCCATAACTTGTAACAAAGAACAACTAACAAGACTCGATATAGAATTATTAAAATTCAATATTAACTTCATAACTCTATTATCTCAAATAAATTTTATACAAAAGCATATATTCATAGTTTCAAAACTTTTTTTGTTCATAGTTTGAAGTTTGTAATATTACTCTTTAATTGATGAATCTCTATTCTTAGAATATCTATATTTAAAGATGACTACTTAACATAAATATAATATTTATTTTCAATTTCATATATCCGTGTCTAATCTTTATTTCTTTATTATTTTGTTTTCTATGTGTAACATTATTTCCATTAACTTGGTTCAATTTCTCTATGAATATTAAGTATATTTTCTCTGTCATTTATCTTATATTGTTATATATCTAGTTCCTTATTTCTACGTATATATAGTCTTCTGTAGCTATGTTCAATTTTATGTTTATATATGTTGTGGTCAAAATTCAAATCCAGTCAAATTTAAAATTTGCCCGAGTAAAATTCAAATTAGAATTTTGCCCAATATAATCTCAGTCAAAATTTAAATTTAAATTTTGCCCAGACAGAATTCAAATTAGAATTTCGTCCAACAAAATCCCAGTCAAAATTCTAATTTCACTTTTGGCTAAAAAAAATTCTAATTTCGATTTTCACTAAAAAAATTCTAATTCACTTGTGACGAAAAAAAATTCTAATTTCACTTTTCACTAAAAAAATTCTAATTTCGATTTTGACTAGACGAAATCGGGAATTCCTTTTGATGAACAAAATAAACTAAAGAAAAAATCACAAAGAATGAACAATTTTTTTATTTCACAAAATTCATTAAACAAAGCAACAATAATCCTAAACTAATCTATTCCATGTTTAAACATCCACCTCTTTTTGAGTGACACTTTGTTGAGCAGAATACATTTTCTTTTTTACATGGACCTGTTTTGGCTGCACAATTGGTTCAACAGTTACAAGTACGGCCGGTAGTGGAACCACGAGAATAAAAATTAGAATTTTTTTAGTGAAAATCGAAATTAGAATTTTTTTAGCCAAAAGTGAAATTAAAATTTTGACTGGGATTTTGTTGGACAAAATTCTAATTTGAATTTTGCCCGGGCAAATTTAAAATTTGACTGGATTTGAATTTTGACCACAACATATATATTTGTCTTTGTCAAAATAAATCGAACAGATTATTTTCCAGTTTATTGCTTCTTTATATTGTTGTTTGATCTCATATTTATAATAACTGATATAAACTTGATAGCTTAAATTCTTAAAAAAGTGTCAGCTCTACAAAATGAGAATTGACAGAGAAGTAATATAAACATGCTTAATGATCTGTTTATTGAATAAACACAGAAAATTATCAGATGCAGACATAATTAGAATAAAATATTATCATTTAACAGATAATGGGCGATATGTTACCTTCAAAGATGAAAAAAAAACACTTTTTATGAAGTGAAACTATTTTTCAGATACCAGTAAATGTCTGCTATTTCATAAGACTAATCTATTAACTTATTAAGTTATATATTAAATTTTTTTTGTCGTTTGTATATTTATTTAAAATGATCTGATAGATAATCTCAATATTTATTGATTCTTTTTAAAAAGATATTTAAAGAGAACTAATGATAAAATTATCAATTTTAATAGAAATACTTATCTTCTCATACATTGAACTTGTAGATTGATATTCAATTATCTTAATATATAAAGTTTTAGAATCTATTTAATATTATTTATGTGACTCTATCACTTGATTAATACAAAATAAAAACTGAAATAGAATCAATAATTTTATCCAATTTTTATATAATGAAGTATAATTTATTTTTTTTTTTTCATTTTTGTAGAAATTTTTATTTTTAATAAAACTAAAATGTTTTATCTTCAATAAGAATAAACAAACTATTTTTATCGTAGCTTCCAAATTGTGACCACGAAAATTAAGTCAATTGAGAAAAAAGTGATCGCAATTCGGAATGAATAATTTTACGTTGATGTCATTTTTTATTCGATTCCAAATTTCGACCACTTTCTAAATTATCAATCAGTCAACGCTTTTAATTGAAAAAAATTTATTGAAAAACCGAGTACAGAAAAAAAATTATTCTTCATCACTACTATCTTTAGTATCGTATATAATTACATCATTTTTCAATGTAATAGATCGAGAGCACGATTTTAAAATGGAGACATAAAGTGATGTTTTTACGCTTATAGATCAACATTGTCATTATAGTACAACTCATTATCATATACATCGATAACCAATCAATCAAAATTGGTCGCAATTTGGAATCGAATAAAAAATGAAATTAACATAAAATTATTCATTCCAAATTGCAACCGCTTTTTTTCTTAACTGACTTTATTTTCGGTCGGAATTCTTCCATAGCCATTTTTATTTACTATCAAACAATAAAGAAAAAATTATGCTATGATAAATCTAATTATAATCGACTAGCGAAATTAACCAATATCAATCTGTTTTTATATATATGAAATAGAATTTCGGAGAGAAAAAAATATTAAATAAAACATGATCAATGAATGTTTTTCTATTTTGAAAAAAAATTCATTTGAATAAATGTAAAAATCTTCCAATAACAGAATGATTTTAATTAAGAAATTCAATAGAAAGTGCTTATATAATATTATCATATTCCCAAAAAACATATCAATCGAATATGTCTTCTTTCTTCATTTTTTATTTATGTTATTAGAAATCTTTCAATTAAAGAAAATAATAAAATTGAAATTCATTATTTTTGATTAATCATTTAATAGAGTTGAAAGAAGATTCTACTATTATTTTAAGATAAGAAACACGATGAATAAATGTTTTCTTTTTTTCTCTAGATTTTTCCATATTATCAAAGAAAAAGATTTACGAGTATAATTCATTTTAAGGTTCCTTGTCTCATGAAAATATACATAGAGACAATTGATGAAGCTCAAATTAGAATGTGTATATTTTGAAGTTTAGTTATTTATTCTATCATATTATTTGTAAATTATACTCTTGTATGTATAACGAAAAGAAAAAATTTCAAATCTAATTGAAAGTATCAATTTTGATAAACATTCTATATAATTTATGCATTATAATCAATAGATTAAAACGGCTTAAAAATATATCTTTGCCAATATGAATAAAATAAATTTTTTGAAAAAGAAATCAATTTAAAATAATGAAATTTAATAAATCTGATATTTTCTATATTATTTTATTTTAGACTCGTCTTTTTCAATAGTATATTATAATAATAAATAGAGATTTTGCCGATC